CAGGCTCTCGTCAACTCCCTCCTGGCTGGTCTACCTGCATGTGCCATCCGACCTCTGCCGCTCATTACATTACATTTAACTTGTTAGATGCTTTTATCCAAAGCGACTTACATACATTCAGTACTGTGGGCAATCCCCACAGGAGCAATTTGGGGTGAAGTGTCTTGCCCAGGGACACAACGACATGCTGACTGCAGTGGGACTCGAACTTGTTATCCTCTGATTCTGAGATCAGCGCACTAATCCACTGAGCCACAGCTCATCCAGAATGCAGCAGCTCGTCTGGTCTTCAACCTTCCAACATTTTCCCACACCACACCGCTCCTCCGCTCCCTTCACTGGCTTCCAGTAACTGCTAGAATCCACTTCAAGACACTGGTACTTGCGTACCATGCTGCGAATGGATCTGGCCCTTCCTACATCCAGGACATGGTTAAACTGTACACCCCAGCACGTGCACTCCGCTCTGCATCAGCCAAACGGCTCGCTGCACCAGCACTGCGAGGGGGACCCAAGTTCCCATCAGCAAAAACACGTCGGTTTGCTATCCTGGCTCCAAAATGGTGGAATGAGCTCCCCATTGACATCAGGACAGCAGAAAGCTTACACATCTTCCGGCGCAGACTGAAAACTCATCTCTTTCGACTCCACTTCGAGCGATAGAATTACTAACAAAGCACTTATATACTAACTAAGCACTCATATACTAACTAAGCACTTATATACTAATAAAGGACTGGCTTATCTAAAGCCAGTTGAGTAGCACTTGAAATGTTTTAGCTCTATGAAACCTGATGTACTTATATGATTCTGTTTTCTTCAAGTTTGTATCTTCTTGGTCGAATGCACTTATTGTAAGTCGCTTTGGATAAAAGCGTCAGCTAAATGAAATGTAATGTAATGTATTACATGAGATCAAATTAAACATTACCTTAATTAAAAATACACGTCTCTTATCGTTTTAGACACAAAAAAATTGTATATACATTTTTAAATGGAGTAAATGTATTATTATACCGGCAATTCCTTAAATTATTCATAACACTCTTAGAATGGCACCAAAACGTACTTGAATCACTTAAAGTGTCTCATGTGAGAATGATAATGATTATCTCCATAATGAAGTTTACTCGACTTCTGCAACAAAGATGCCGTGAACAACAAAAAAGAAGAAATATTTAAGTGCAAAACTGCTGTAACTAGCAACTCCAATATCATACAAAAAAATTAATATTGAAGCCCTTAGAACGATTTATAAAAGAGCAGTAACACTAAGTTCTGCATTTTAATGAAAGTGCAACATGAGTAAAAGAGGAAAAAGAAAGTCATAATTATTCAAATGTAAAATTGAAGGCAAACTAACTTTTGCAAAACAATACAATACCGTTTATTTTAATTTTTAAACCTGTCATGTTAAAAATAGATTTCAGCATGTCAACGTCCTGTGTTATGCCGACTAATCCCAGCATCATGGAACAAGTCCTGCCCTTGGTACTTTAACCCTGCCAGGGAAAACATTCTCCACAAGCACACGTGTCTTTTGACAACAAAATACACAGTGAAACTTTTACCAAAAACTTTGCAGCTAAATTGTTTCTCCCCGGTGTGCTGAACCAGTTGTTGGGTCAGATTTAGATTTATCGTTAATCTTTTATTACAAACCGAACAACTTAATACCTTCAACCCCGCGTGGATCATCAAGATTTATCAGATAATGCTTCTGTGGGAATCTTTTACTACGAAGCGAAAACAACTCAATTGTTTCTCACCAGTGTATTCCATTGAGTGTTTTTTCCGATTTCCAGGCGTTGTGAAAGCTTTGCTACAAACTTAACAGCTAAATGTTTTCTCCTCCGGTTGGTCCCTCATGTGCATCACAACATCTCCTTTGGATTTAAAAGCAGCTGAAGGGTCTCCATTTTAATGAACTTTTCATTGTCAGTTCAAAGCAAACTGTTTTGCAAATGATTTAACCACAAAAGTAACAACCAAAGGGTTTCTCCCGTGTGGATTCCAGTTTGTTTGTGTCATCATGTTCAAATCTGAGAGCACATTCAGAGATAGCTGATGTTTTTCAATCGTTACATGGTTTGCAGAAGCTCTGAGCCTGACTGACTTGTTTCTGTTGCCACCCAATCTGTCGTCAGTCTCTAACCCAGTCTCACAATCCTCTCCATCAGCTTCTGTTTTCAAACGCTCTGCCTCTCTGTTCTCCTCCGTTTGGACTTTGAACTGTGAGGATAGAGCTTTGTCTTCTTCCTCGCCCTCAGTTTTCACAGAAGTCATTTTAATATCAGCTTCTTCTGTCCCTTTTAGCTGTTCTCCACCCTGCATGCTCCATGGTTCTTCCTCTTGAATGTGCAGGGGGAGAATTATGAAATTACGACTGGGCGATATGCAGAAAAATCTAATATCATATTTTGGTTCAAATACCTTGCTATCGATATTGTGAGGATGTTGCATACGTGTGTGTATATTGTCTAGGCCTGGGCAATATATCAAAATTATATTTATGCGACTAAATCATTTCTTAGATTATGGATATCAGAATATCCTATTGTGTCGTCTCATGGTTTTAAAAGCTGCATTATTAAATGTATGTCATTCTCTGAATTTATCAGACTATTTGTCATGACCCTAGTTTTTAGTTTAACTGTTTCCTTTTTTATTTTTGAAATGTTCCCAGTCTGTGTCATGTCTGTTTTTACTTTATGTCTTTTTGTGCTTTCCCGCCTGTTAGGATTGTCCTTTCCTGGGGCCTCATTTATAAAGGGATATACGCTCAAAAAATGGCGTACGCCAGTTTCTACGCAATGTTTGCGATTTATAAAATACTAACTTGACGGGAAAATGTGCTGTCCTCCACGCAAACTCTAACCCATGCGTACGCACTAAGCACACAAACGGGAGAGACGAGAAACTGCGACACCGTTGGCAGAAGGAAGAATGGAGAGAAATATGTGGAAATAATACCATAAATAAAATGTTACCTCTCATTTATCAAATATGAAGAATTCATTTTCAAACATTGATTAAAGCCAATCTTAAAATGATTAAACAAACGCCTGTTTGAGACTCCTCAGTGCACAAAAAAACATAACTTGGAGAAATAAATAAATACGGATATGCTATTTAAAACCACCTCGAATATGTTGTGTTAATGTTATGAAATGTTTTCTCATACATGATGCGGTAAGCAGGAGGACAGAATAACGTCTAAACTGACGCCGTTTTGCATTTCTATAGGTTGTAGATACGAGCATGGTTTTATATACTATCACGTTTAATCGTGTATGCCGTTTGCCAAGACTTGATAAGTCGCTCGTAAAACACAGGAGGTATGGAAACTAAGAACACCGTGGTAAATTGTGCAGCTAATATAACACAACACATTGTATTTCCTTTAACTGGTGGATTATGGATATATAGTTGCTGATCGACAGCTGGAACACAAACCACCAAATACAACAAAATAATTCAGATCCAGTCGTCATGACTCCACTCCGGAGGGATTCCCCGATCATTTCTTAGTTTCTCATCAAGGGGGTGTCTCCTGTCCCCGGTACAAACACACTGCCTGAGGAAGGTTATGTGTATTTTTTTTGTCATTAACTTTTTTCGGACCACTTATTTATTTATTTTGGTGACGATCCGACCTCCATGCTGCTACTCTGGTTCAAACTGCATCCACCAAACAATATGATTTATCTCCACCTCCCCAAAATAACCAAAATCTGACACGGTGCGAGATGTCTTTTTTAGCTGTTCTATCGTAATTTCCTGCGATCTTCTTCATGCAGTCAGTCAGAATGAATGAATGAATGGGCGTTTCTTTGACTATGTATAGGCAAATATGGGCGTTACGAGTCGATTGTGATTTATAAAGGGAAACAGGCGTAGGGAGTGCCGTACGCACTTCCCTCGCCGGTACGCAATGTTTTGTGAATCGGAAAATGGCGGAACATTTATGTACCTATTTTTGTGCTTTGTACTACGTAAGCAACCTTCCTACGTCAATCCTACGCAAGGCGTTATAAATGAGGCCCCTGGCCTCATAAATTCCACCTTGTTTCCCATTAGTCCTGAAACCACCTGACCTCCCGTGTTCCTGCACTATTCCTGCTTTTCTGTTTAGTCATTGTTGAATGCTTGTATGTCGTGTAACGTAAATTCTGTTCTGTTTCTCTTGCCTGGATTACATTTGAAAACTAATGAATTATGTTAAAAGCTCCTGTTCCCTGCACACCCATGCATTAAGGTCCACCTTGCTTCCCTTCACGTGACAGAAGAGTTTATCCAAGATATGAAAACAGCAGATGATCAATGTGGACTTTCTGGGCTATACTGTATATGGGCTTCTTAAAGGATCAGGAGTAGAAGTGAAAAGTAGAAATACAATGAAAGTACTCAAGGCACAAGTACATCTAGATTCTATATGTACTGTATACGTCAGTCTAGTATTAATATGTTAACTAAAGTAAAGGAATTGAATATTTAAAGTGATAATAGAGCAATGACAGAACTTACCTGCTCCGTGTATCTGGACATAAACAGCGTCAAGGAGCGCCCGTCATCGCTGGTTCTCATCTTTTAGTCGAGAAAGATCCTTGTCGTACTCTGCTATCGTTTGTCAAACTGTTATTTCTTCGTCAGCAGCAGCCCCTCAACATTGGGGCTTTATTCAATTTCAATTAATGGCTAGAACTTGTCCTGCATAAAGATGACATTTCAGAGGCTCAACAAAAATACTGCTTAATACTAAATAATTAGGTAAAATCAATTTAGATCAGATATACTTAATTGATCCCAAATTAGCATTTTTTTGTTACAAACAGTAATAATTTACATTTTAACAAAAGATATATACTGTATCTATAGAGTTCACAATATAAAATACACAATATTAAAACATACAGAATAAGTAAAAAAACACTGTAGAAGACTGACCTGCTACTATTACTAAATGAATACACACACAGGATAATACATCATTATACATATAATTATTCAACTTCAGGAGTTTTTATTGACATTTAATTTGCTGCCATTTCACACACACACAATACTACACTGGAAACGGACACACCTCTTATTGGATTTTAGTCTATTAGATACATATTTGGATGTTAGTTAAGAAATGTTCACTAGGAAATATTTAATAAAATATTAGAAATATAATATCAATAGTAATTTAAAAAACAATAACATTATTTGTTCAATGAAAGCTGCAAATCTGCAGCAATAATTCAGTAACCAACAGAGACAAGACAAGCCTTTATCAATTTTATTGACAAAGGTACAGTCCTGCATCAGACTCGCTGAACATCACACCCACAGTCAGAAAACACATTCATCAGTCTTCTTCGACTCAAACATAACAAATAAATGGTTTTTAGAAGCTAAGAAACCAAACCAAACCATTTGTTTTAAATCAAACTATAAAACGGTAGCGATTTACAGAAACGTTAACTCAACCAGATTCTAACCAGGAGAGAAATGTCCAGCTGCGCTTTTTTGCTTTATGGTGGAAATATTCAGTGAACTCCACAGAAAACCTACATTTTACTTTATTGTATGGGTCCCTTAAGGAGTTATGATGTCCTGGAAATAACTATGTAATAAAGTATTAATCATATGAAAATAACGCAATTATTTGAAATTCCCCAGTTTCCACTTTAACTATAATCTTATTACATAGAACTTTCTTTATAATGGTGACAAAATCAAAGACCATGAAATAAAGTTTAAAAGGAAAATGTTCGTTTTTTTTATCCTGACTAACGTCCAAACTTTAAGTTAAAGAAAAAAATATTTGGAGAAAATGAATATTCTTTGATTTCTTAACATCATTTTTAACTCGTTCTGTGCTCATGTAATAACCGATTTGCCAACAGCATTCTGTTGAACATCAAAATAATCTAATGTCTGACAATCAAACATATGGACACCATTAGCCAAGTCTTTTTTATAGTAATGTAATGTTAATATGGTCAATGAACAGTATTTTTAACCCTCACATGACTGACTGTAACATAGAGCTGCAACAAATTGTTCTCTTATCGACAACAGGAAAATAATAGCCACCTTTTTTGATCAGCAATTGAGCAGTTTCATGGAGAAATGTCAGGAAATGCTGTTTTTTCTCAAAAATTTAGATTTTTATGTTTTATGTCATATAAAGTAAAATGTGATTTGAAATAAAAAAATATATACATTTAACGACCATGGACTAAGAAAAAGATTTATCTAGAAACCACCAGCAGAATAAATGTGTAATAAAAAGTAATCTCGTTGCAGCCTTTGTAATCATACATATTTGATGTGAAGCCTGAGCGTGCTTCAAACAAGAAACTGAAGCCATGATTCTGTTCTGATGGGTTTACTACAGCCAACAGGGTTAGGGTTCAGAAATCAACGTATTCCAGGGCCTTTTTCCCTCCGTTTAACAAACGCACAGCTTGATCCTATACACAGAAACAGCCCACCAGTTCAGAACATTGACAGGTGACAAACAGACTTCTGCTGCGGGTCGGTAATCTGCAGCATACCGGTCAGACAGTGAAACATTCAGAGATTTGTTGGTGGCTGGTGGCTTTCTTTCAAGGCTCTCAGCTCACCTGAAGAAACAACGTGGGGCTTATTCTTCGCATCATGCTCTCTAATGAACCATTCTGTCCCGGTGGAGTTTCACCAAAGGTTAAATGATGTGGGGTAAAAGAAAAACTGGCATTTTGGTACTAAATATTATGGAAAAACTCACGTACACCTTTTTCAAGAATGTCAGCCTCTTATTAGTAGTGTAATATGTTGTTGAGTGTGAAGTTAACAGACAATTTAAAGAACTTCTAATATCTTAAAATAATCGAAACTTTGTTCTCAAAATGTAACTATGTTTTCTTTGAGATTTCTTTGACTTCATTATCTCAATATAGAAGTTTGTAATCAGAGCTGCAACGAATTATCGATCAAAAGAATAAAAACTTTACATGGCAGAACAGGTTTTTTCCAGCTTCTCAAATATGGATATCTTTCTTTATTTTATTTTATTTTAAATTAAATATCTGTGGATTCTGGGCTGACTGAACAAGAGATTTAAAGTGTATGATAATGATTGATTGAATTGTCTAGAGTAATAATTGTTAGTTGCAGCCCTATGATCGATTATGAATTGTGAGGCTGTTTCTTCTGAAATGACTAAATCCTCTTGTAACATGCCTTTTTACAATTGCTCCCCAGTGGACCTAGTACTCCATATGTCGCGACGTTTAGGGTCAAATTGTGTAGCTCTGTCCAGAAACCTTTCTAAGATTTGAAAATGTACTGTTTTAGTATATTAGAAGGAGACAAAGTAGACAAAATGTTAGAGAGGAAATGTATTTGAGTTGGCTACCATCATGGAACAAATAAGAACGTTTGTGGATTTTCAGATCCAGCTAACCCGAGACTTTAAACCGGCAGCAGGAACTCTTGTGATTAATCAGCTGTGGCTCTGTTATTGTTAGACCTATTTTCAGTGGAGCAATTTTGTGTTTCAGGGGCTTTTCTGAGATCAAATTAACTCCTTTCTGCCTTAAATTGATTTAACGTCAAAATAACAATATAAAGTAAAGCTCTCGCTAGTTTCCATCCACAGTTTCTGCCCTCTTCCAATTCCCAGAATCCCTTTCAACACCCCCCGGAGAAGAGGGAGGGACTTTTCTGTCCTGCTCTCTGATTAGAGGTGGGGTCTATTTAGTTATTGGGCGGAGCCTGCAGAGTCTCAGGGAGCTGATAGGTCGGATCGTCCGACCTCTGAGTGTCCCTTCAGCAGGCCGAGCCTCACCACCACCACCCGCCTCTTCTTCTGCTCCGACTCTTCATCATCTGACTCTTCCTCCGTGTCCCTGTCTTTCCCCCTTCGTTTCCCCCTCTCCTTCCTCTTCTCCTCCTTTCTCTGCTTCTTCGCCTTCTTCTTCCTCCGCTTCTTTTCCAACTCTACCTTTTCCTCCACTGCTTGCTCCTCCTCCTCTTCATCCTCTTGGAGTCCCACTTGCACTTCTTCAACTTCCACCTCCTCCACCGCCATCTCCATTTCTTCCTCCTCTTCCTCGTCGTCGTCTTCTTCTTCCTCATTATTCTCCTCCTCTTCTTCTTCCTCCTCCTCCTCCTCCTCGATGTCATCTTCCTCCTCCTCATCCATCATATGTTCTCCCTTCATCTGCTCTAGTTTCATCTTCATCCTCTGTCGTCCGTTCTGTGTCGGCTGACAGGACCACAGCACAAAGTTAAAAAAAGAACTCTAGTACTTCCCAACAAAAAAAGCTTAAACAAATAATCTTTATGCAACCTGTTAAAATAGTTAAAAATAAAGTTATATTTATCTGGGTTTCCGTTAGCCGGTAATTACCGGTTTTTAGCTGGTAGAATTTATAAAAAAACGGTCAATTCAAAACCTGCCGGTCAAAATGTCCGGTAATAATTAGGGATGCTCCGATCGATCGGCCACCGATCATTATCGGCCGATATTCACTCTTAATAGTTTGATCGATGCTCTCTATAAAGGCCGATCAGGAGAGCTGGATCTGATCGATATTATGGACATAAACGCGTTTAACCGGACGTGAGAGAGAGATATCAGATCAGCTGCTGAGTCTGACGGAGACACGCAGCTCCGATCACCGGCAGCTCCGTCGCTGTGACGGACCGGTGAGCAAAACACACACCTCAAGTTAACACTTAACTATTTTATCTACCTCTGGAACAAGCTAAACTAGTTATAAATATGTTTATTCTTCACTGTCGGGTCACTCATTACTGGATCAGCGAGCTGCATGAGTCTGATACAGAAGAGGGAGAGAGGAAAAGAGAGGCTCCGTTTATTTTTCCGTTGTTAATATCCAAAGTTAATGTAAACTTTTGAATAATGTACTTTATCTACTATAAGTAGTTTGTTTGAATGTAATAATGATGTTGTTTGTTGTTTGGGGAAGCGCATCATTTATTGAATGAATCTGAACTTTTCGATCTGTTACGATTATAAACTGAAGCAATATAAAAATGAGCCCCATTAACTGAGTTTAAACATCAGCATATCCGGTCATAGTCCAGTAATTACCTGCTAACGGAAACTCTGCTCCACAATTCTTATTATTCTTATTATTGAAACATGACCGGTAAGTTTCAAATTTGTCCGGTAAAATAAATTATTTCCGGACACTTGACAGGCAAGAAAAAATCCTAGCGGAAACCCTGATACATTCAATTTTTTTATAATTAGGGAGAATCTCATTTTTTCCAAAGTTATCATGTGTTGCTTTTCAGCCTAACAGGGATATGATGATTGGTCTGGGTCACACAGCTCTAGCTTGTACCTGAAAGTCTGCTCTGATTGGTCAACTGCTTAGAGATATCCCGCCCCTTAGCCTATCAAGTACAATCGGTTGGAGCTCTCCCCCTGAAACTCCCTCTGGAGGGAACTTTGGGTTTTATGTCTTTGCAGACCATTTACATACACAAAAACCTACATAGCACACTACAGGAAAAGGAAAACCCCAATAAGCGCAATAAGGCCCCTTTAATATTAGACACAGTGTTGTCTTCTTGCTCCCTTATTTATGTTTTCATTGTGACATTTAAATTGTGCAAACATATAAATGTCTGGCTGCAAGAAGAGTTTGTGTAAAAATCGTATTAATACTCACCGACTTCTTGCCGTTTCGGAGCCTGTGCAGCAGTAACCTGACGGTGTCTTTGTTCTGACATAGTCCCATCGTGTTCAGGGCGTCAAGAGCGGAGCCGGAGCAGCCCTGCAGGCGGAGCTCGGCCCCCAGAGCGGCCTGCAGGAAGTTGTTCTTCCAGATGTTCCTGGTGAAGAGCGGGAGGGAGAGCGCCACCACGGTCCGTCGCTCCAGCAGCGTCTGGGCCTGTTCCTCCGACATCTGGCTGTCACACAAGCAAACAGAACAAGTGTTCATCAGATCGCTGACCAAACAATGAGACTTTTAACAAAGACATTTGTACTGTTATGACCCAGCAGGATTCCTAAACTTGTTTGTTTGTTTGTTTGTTTGTTTGTTTGTTTGTTTGTTTGTTTGTTTGTTTGTTTGTTTGTTTGTTTGTTTGTTTGTTTGTTTGTTTGTTTGTTTGTGTGTGTGTGTGTACTAAGCACTGGCGGGTCCCCTCTCAGACTTACTTGCTGCTCTTGGAGAGGCTGTTGATGTCGGGGAACAGTGAGGTCAGGCAGGCGGTGACGAGGGGAGCCTTTTCCTGGGCCCAGGTCAGACAACGCCGCCAGGGGAAGCATGACAGTGGCTTCCTGCTTGTCACTTTTTGATGGAAAGGATTATCCGTCTGCCGTGTCAGCGCCTTCATCTGCACCGCCACCAGGAAACACATCAGGACATGTGACATGACAGTTAGAGATGCACAATTTGCAAAGCCTGACCTGCTGATTACAATGTTCTATCTTTATAAGAAGTATAATTGTAACGGAGCGTCCACACAGCAGCGTTAAAAAAATCTTGGAGGTGGGCGTATCTGAAGCTTGGGGATTTTTTGCGAGAAATGCGACCAACAACCAATCACATGAATCTCCCGCCCCCGACATACAAAGCAAAAAAGCCCGAAGTAAACTGGATATAAACTCCCCAAACAGGCGAAAACCTACCACTGTCTCTGCCACCTCCCTCCATGCCTGGCTCCTCCGGTTTGTATCCCGGTAGGTAAATAGGAACTGGTCATAAAGCACCGGGTGATTCCCTACCGCTATAATTAATTTCTCCATTTTTTGGAATATGAGGAAATGACCTGCGGTATGTCTCTCCCAGCTTACATGCGGTTTGATTGGCTAGCGCTTGAACTGTCAGATTTGCATAAACGGGATTTGATTGGCTGACGCTTCCACCTCAGCTTCAAAAGTTGAACATTGCTCAACTTTTGAATCCTGAGATGCCTGGAAATCTCCGTTCTGCTTCCCACAATGCAGTTCGGCGAAAAGTGAGGCAAAGTGACGCCACCCCATTCAAAGTGAATGGGCAGAAGCGCTGGAAGATTTTTTTAACGCTGCTGTGTGGACGGGCCGTAAGTATGTGCAATCATTATAGTAAAGATTCTTTAATGGAAAAGTTAGATTACATTTTATGTTCATAATAAAACATGGATTAGCATTTTTCCCTCACTAAGTTAAAAGACCTTCTTGTTTTCAAAACCTTGTTTTGGCCATGATGTGTGTGTGTGTGTGTGTGTGTGTGTGTGTGTGTGTGTGTGTGTGTATGTGTGTGTGTGATTTAAGTGCATGTGCCGCTGTGTGCAGCAATGCCATCATGTGAAACGTGTATAAATTGAAGCAAATTGACAAATCCAAAGAATGACTAGGGTCTGTATCTGCGCCTCCCTTATAACAAACATTGGTGAAATGTTTCTTTTGGAGACCTAAAGCAGAATGTGTTTGTTATAATAGATGGTTTTAGTAGCTGCTCTCCTCACCTCCTCTTTCAGCTGTTTGCTCCAGAAATCCATCATTGGCTTTCGGGCACCTTTGGCTGACCAGAGCATTTTGAAGGCAGCCTTGTAACAGGACTTGCTCACCAGCAGGGCCGCTTTGCTCTTCTTCCCCATCCTGCGGCCTTTCTTCTTCTTGTCCCTCACGTCTGACTGCAGTCACCATCACCAAGGAGAAACAAAGAAAACATCAAAGATTCATACAGCATCTCTCTTGTGTGGAACACGACCACATCCATGGTTAACATATCGTAGCCCACAGACCAAGGGTCACAATGGGTCCTGCTTGTTTTACAGCTGATAGAGCGACTGGGAGTTGCAGGATGAAACACGCCAGGTACAACAAATGTTACATTTCCGCATGTTGCGTACTAGATAGCAAGTTATCTAGCTATTTTTTGTGAGTGCAATACAAAATTAGAAGGTCAGCCGTTTCACCCACTCTCCAACGACGAACTGCAACTTTTTTTACTTGCAAATGTATCTTTTAAATGTTAAACTTCAAATGTGTTATTAATGGCATAATTCACACAATAACGTTATGTGTCTATTGAGGTTGACTGCTATACACATTTTAAGGGGGGACATCCGAAGTGAGAGGGGCTTCGCCTAAATACATTGCAGAATGTATGATGGGAGATACCACTCTTATCTGTATGTATCCCACACCTGTTTTGTCTGAGGCGGCATCACCCACAGAGTCCGCTTCCCACTCTGTCTGCGTTTACAGCTGCTCCTGATGACCTGGGCGCAGGTCTCACACACGAAGGACTTTTCGTGCACAGAGGCGCCCGGGAATGCCCACTGCACCGTCTCCGGGGTGGAGAAGGTGTACACCGCCCTCCGGTTGAAGCTGCGGCCCTGCCGCTCGAACTGAGAGTGGCAGGCGGAGCAGTTGTTGTCCTCGGGCCGCCTGGGTCTACGGCGACCGACTCGCAGAGCGGGCGAGGCCGTAGCAGCCAGTATACATGGGTCTGTCTTATGGGATACCTCTTCTGTGTTCGCTGGAGGAAACGCCTCCACATCGTTTCCACCGGGGCAGTCCACCTCCGCACCAACAGCCTGTTCGGGAAGCTCCACCGGCTGGGTATGCTGCCCCAAGGAGCTGGGCTCAGGTTCGGCCGCTGTCGTGAAGCTCTCTGCACTGACAGCCTCGTTAGCAGCTGGTGCACCTGAGGAGGACGCCTCCGTGGAAGTTAGGTTACCGTCCGCGGAGTCGTGGGCATAGTCATGCTCGTTTGTCTCGGATGAGGGAACAGTCTCATCTCCGTTCACTGCGTTGGTTTCGCTGTTTTCACTCGCCATGATGAAAAGACACCCTCTGGTTTGAGTCAATACGCAGGAAGAGAAACTCTGTCTGCAGTCATCGCTGTTCGCAGCAGGCCAACGGTTACTTGCTAACCCTGGAGCCCGCCAGAACAACCACCAGGACGTGCAGGCAGATCTTTCAGAGTAAAGTCTCTTGAACCGTCAGGTCGACATGTACTGCAAAGGGAGGTTTATTCTACAAATCTTTGCGGACAAAATATAGACCGTTTTAAACTATGAACAGCTGCAGATCAGTTGGAAAACAGAAACTGTGACCAACAGGATGTAGCCGTTGATAAACATTGAACTAGTTTCCGTGTTTCTGTTGACCGACACGCCGATGGCGACCTCGTGTGGTGGGAGGCCTGTACTACAAGTGATAGAATCATAGATGGACCGACTGGAACTTTGTAAATCTTTCAATATATGCACTGCCACTGGCCAAAAGAAGCAATACAAATACAATTAAAATGTGCAAGTAAAATCATTGCATGCACACTTTAACTTAATTAAATAACACAAATATTGATATAAATATATACAGAGTAAATAAAGGAGAATTACAGTTATTTTCAACATATTTTGTACAGTGTACGTATCTAAATTTAAGCTTTCTTTCACCATGGTGCCTTGAAGATAGCCAAACTCAATGATGCGTTATACAATAAAAAAAGAGTGATAGGGCTACGTTAATATACGACACAAGCACAGGAAGATAAATAAAAAAATATAACAAGCATACGAATTAAGGAAAACACGAGTACTGATTATATTGAACACCGTTTAATTGGAGTTCTGGGCTTTAATTATTTTTAATTATTCTTATTTCATGCAGTTCTGTAGCTTATTCCACCTGTAAGTCAATTTCCCCCTTGCAGAATTCATAGACAAGGTGTCTAATCATGGGCGTCGCAGCCATTATATGAGGGTGGGACAAGTCCCCCCCACTTTTTCAAATGATTAGTTTAGACCCCCCCACTTTTACTATGCGGAAAGTCTGTGAATCGGTCTATCCACTCGCCGCACTTTGTAGAGCGCTGTGTCAGTGCTTCACTATCAAATGAAATCCATTCCACTTGCTTATTGAGAGAATGCCCAAATCAATGAAACTCCGTACCATGTTTTCACTGCTACTTTGTACCAAGGCAGATTCTCACATAGCGCGCGCATGTTCAAGGAGTGTTGTCATAGTTGGACAGCTCAGTTCTATTTCGTATATGGCTTCGCCCTCTAAGGCTATCGCTATTGGGTAATCCCCCTGCGCACCCGCGCAGCACTGAAACACTTGTAGTCCACGCCCGCCCGCAAGGTGGGCCCCACCCTCGGGCTCCCTTCCGGTATAAATAGGAAGGAGGCCCGACAATCTGCTCCCTCTTTTTCTTCAGCACCCCGTTACTGAAGCACAAGAGACACTTTCATTAACAGAGCAATCATGAGCAGCAATTGTGTGAGAGATTGTCCCTCATGTGGCTCTGGATACATTATGGGTTACGACCAGCACACGATGTGCGAATCCTGCCTGGGGCCAGAGCACGCATACGCGGCTCTCAGCCAGCAGGTCGCATGCACACACTGTGCCCGTCTCCCCTCGGACGACAGGAAGCGAAGAGCGGACAGTAGTGGCTGCATAGGATTGTTTTAGACCCATGTAATATTATGTTCTGAAAAAAGTGTTCTGAAATTCAAATTTATGGAACCAACACAGCATAACAGGGCCTCTTAAATCAAATTGTCTGTGCATACATCTGGGTTTGAATTAAGAAGCACAGTCCACAGCTTCTACCTCACTGAGGGGTTTCTGGAAACATCGGAAACACGAGACTCAGTCAGAAGAGGTTTGGACGATGGCAATGCGGCATCAGCTGATCACATATCTCCATGGCAATCATGTTGGGGTCCTCTTTGTTGCAGGTGTTGCTGGAAATGATCTTCTCAACAATCGGACCTGGAAGAAAAACCAGCCAGCACAGGGCTGCAGATGGAGAATGGAGACCTGGGTCACATTGTGTGTGTGTGTGTGTGTGTGTGTGTGTGTGTGTGTGTGTGTGTGTGTGTGTGTGTGTGTGTGTGTGTGTGTGTGTGTGTGTGTGTGTGTGTGTGTGTGTGTGTGTGTGTGTGTGTGTGTGTGTGTGTGTGTGTGTGTGTGTGTGTGTGTGTGTGTGTGTGTGTGTTGAAGTAAGAAGATATGATTCTACACTGTATTGAAGTAAACATGTATTGTTTGAACTGTTTTATGTATTCACAACGGTTTGGGTAATTATATATAGAATAGGAATGTTATTCTCACTTTTAAATTCACTGGCTCAGAGATTCTGTGTTTCAATACACCAACATCCTTCTTATCATCCATAAAAGCCAGATGCGGTCATTAAGTCGTTAAAAGACATCGTAAAATAAGTGGAGAAGAGTTTAAATGTCGGAAGGAGGGAAGGTTAGGTGAAAATATCCCCTGGGAAAGGAATGTAGAGTAAGATAAGGTAAAGATAAACATTGACTTTTGACCTGGTGTGGTTTGGGATCTCACTCTGTTCGAAACTCTGATTGACCCCGGCCAGAAGCGAATCCAGTCAGTCAGGGCACTTGGGGGAGGTGGTCAGTTTAAACAGCTCCTCCCCAGGGGCTCTCTAATTCGCTTGGGAGAAAAGTGGGAAGGAAGAATCGACAAATCTCCGCCCCAAAGACAGATAGAAATACTGATGTTTGTGTGTGTAAAATTGCTTTTGGGTTTGGTGAGTTTGTTGGTTCCGATATCTGTGTCCGCATCGCATCACAAACTTGAAGTCACTTTCTTCTCGTTTGATGAGTTTGTCTGGTCCCGACGCTTTTATCCGCATCGCATCACAAATCTAAAAGTCCGGAGTGCTCGAGTACTCTGTATAACTTGTATATGTGTTTGGTTTCCTACTAGAAGTAAACTCAGATAATTTGTTATAACTTTGATTCCGGTGTTTTCAATTCCTTTCTTAATTTAATAGAGATCCAGCCTCATCCAACGAACGGCGCGTAGCAGAGGTATTCTACTCCAACAAGTGGTGACTCCCGACGTTTGTGAGCTGATCTCTAGAAAGGGACACCGACAGCCAGGGGACAGAATCCAGTCCAGGGGGAGGACACAGAGATACTGGTGACAACTAAACCAATGGCCATATACAAAAGGTGAGCAGACACCTGTTTTGATTATCAAAAATCTGTGATTGATTATACTAAAAATTTAGAGTTGTCAGCAGCGTTCTCAGTGTTCTTAGTCACGGTGGGAAATACAATACATATTCAAGTTGGAAAAGTTTGATTAAGTGCTTAGTGTCGGGTATTCAGTCCTGGACCTAGAGCAAGATAGTGTTTGAGAGAGGCGGGTAAAAAGTCCCGGCCCTTCACTCACTAAATACGAAGACTACGGAGGTGTAAAAAACAGAAGGGTTAAATTCCCCGCAGATCATGATAAGATTGATTAATGCGGTTACCTTTCGTGGTGCTTTAAATGTATAAAATGTCTGTAATTGTTATATGGTGGGTGATAGAGGAGGAGAGAGACGCGACCTCCAACTAATTATTTGGAACGACCGTATCTCATCACAAAACTGTTGTGGGGATAATCAGGCTCATTAAACGTGACGATAAAGAGATTTTGTTGACTGAGTTTTTAACTCTTGACCTGAAGTCGCAATCACCGTGAGGAGATTGTAGAAGCCTACTTCTGGAAGTCACGCTATCTGTTGAAATAAACATCGCACAATAAAAATTTGCCTGACTGTGATGTGATAAGGTATGAAAAGCTCTGTGTGATTTTTTACCTCCACCCTACGGAGATGATAGCTCACAAATGCCACTTATGAGTATCCCATCTAATACTCCTAAAAGAAAACACATTGTTAGACCTGATATTCAGGGAAAAGGAATGTTGGAAATAGTAATGGAAGATATTGAAAATCTTAAACTGGATCAACCAACCATGTTAGTGAACCCTGCTAATATGGAGCTAATACATGTAGAAAGAATAGCAGCAGCTCTGGCAAAGACAATAGGTCCTAGCATGCAAGCACAGAGCGATAATATGATAAGGACTATTAAACTGACCCTTTTTGGAAATGGGATTTTCCGTTACACAACGGAAGACTCAATTCAGGCCTTAAAGAACGCTTTACAAACAAGTCAGGGAGTGTTAAATGTGGAGCTATGTTGCTCAAAAGGGAGCTTACACTTTTGGGAAGAGATCTCCCACTTTCTCTGTCCTGAGGTGCTGCAGACTCAAAGCAGCATACAGGGTCAAAGACAGGCGTGACCTCTGGAGAGGAAGAAAATCTAAATCTGAACAGACCACAGAGCCCATTAAAAGGTTTTATGGCCTAAACACAGCGAGGAAGATCTGGAGATTGTAAGGAACTCTCCCTAAATACCCACCCCCACACCATTGAGGGGAAGAGTGTTCCTTTCACCAATAAACAAATCATCTCTTAACCAAGTCAGATTTCAAAATAGCCATACCTCAAGTTGTTAAGAAAAGAGGGAGATTCAAAAAGTTATCAATAAATTGCCCAGTATATTAAATAAATACAAACAGACACGTATCAATATAAGTCAGATAATGTAGACGAGGTCAATCATGGAAGAAGGCTGACATTTAATGCCTGGTATATAAGTGATAGTAATAATAAATATATAGCTGATATTAAATAACTGATGTATAAGGCTCGATATTTCTGAAAATAGGAACACCGTTAACGGCGTTCTATTTCAGTAAAAGGGGGAAAAGGATAGGATATACATCAGACAATATGTATGTGAGATTATTACGTTTTTAGGAGAAATTTATCAATTTAAAAATACTAGTTATGGTATTTTTTGTTTTGTTTTATTTGTTGCTTTTAAGAGAAATTGATACATTTAAAATAATCTAGCTTTGGTTATTTTTTGTTTTGTTAGTTTGTTCCTTTTTTGTTTTATTTTTATTTTTGTTCTATTTTTTAATTTAATTTTTAATTTTTTATTTTTAATTTTTAATTTTTAATTTTAATTTTAATTTTTTTTATTTTTGTTTATTATTTTCTGCATAGTCTCTTGTCCACACTCCAGTCTAGTTGGTGCCGCCAATAAACACTAAAGAAGTAGAAAAGATGATTTCAAAACCATATTTCCAGCAACTTAAGGGCTTGGTATGAGACTTCTCCACACAGGCTGCTGACGTCAAAAGGGGGACCCGAGAAACACAAGGCCAACACAGCAGATTACGTCTGGTTGGAGGGGACCTCCCATGCCGTCCGCTCAGATGGAAAGGGAGACAACTGGTACCACTGGAGCCAGTGTGCGGTCGGGAAAAAACACCTGCGAGGACCCTAGACGACATCAGGAAAGAGTTGGCCCTCGTCGCGAGGACCCTAGACGACATCAGAACAGATCTGGCTCTCGTCAAGGCAGTCGACCCATGAGGCGCCATCAGCAGACCGGAGGAGGAGGATCGGGACATCTCTCCAGCATCGACCCGGAAGCCGCCATCAGCGGGCCGGGGGAGGACAATCAGGCCACATCTCTCTAGCAGGCACCCCAGAAGCCGCCGTCAGCGGGCTGGGGGGACGAAGACATGGCAAACCAAGACGGCACAGGGAACTCCATTTCCCGCTGAAACAGGTTGATATAGCTGGTGTGGAACTTTGTCTGAACAATCAATTTTTTTTTTTTGAGGAACTTTCAACTTTATTTTTATATCCCACAATATAAGGGATTTGTATTTTTTATTCTACAGAACTATGTGTTACCAAAAGAGGGAAAAGTATGATAATGTCTTTTCTGATTTCTGTGGCTACTTTTATTGCCATTTTGGTGACATGTGGTTGTTGTTGTGTGCCTTGTATCCGCTCATTGTGTGTTAGACTCATCAGTTCCACCATTGAGGGAAGAGTAAAGATGACTCAGCTGACAAGGACTTTGCTTTTTAGACATATTTTATTCTCCTTCCACTGTCATAATAAGTTGTTGTTGTGGACTGTTCCTAAAGGTTTAAAGTGCTCTATATCCCAACTTCTGATGGGTTTATATAAATGTTGGGACAGACACAGTAAGAAGAAAATTGACAGTGGTAATGTTTCAAATGCTATATGTTGATCTCGTGAGGTGAGATCAAAAGAGGGATTGAAGTAAGAAGATATGATTCTACACTGTATTGAAGTAAACATGTATTGTTTGAACTGTTTTATGTAATCACAACGGTTTGGGTAATTATATATAGAATAGGAATGTTATTCTCACTTTTAAATTCACTGGCTCAGAGATTCTGTGTTTCAATACACCAACATCCTTCTTATCATCCATAAAAGCCAGATGCGGTCATTAAGTCGTTAAAAGACATCGTAAAATAAGTGGAGAAGAGTTTAAATGTCGGAAGGAGGGAAGGTTAGGTGAAAATATCCCCTGGGAAAGGAATGTAGAGTAAGATAAGGTAAAGATAAACATTGACTTTTGACCTGGTGTGGTTTGGGATCTCACTCTGTTCGAAACTCTGATTGACCCCGGCCAGAAGCGAATCCAGCCAGTCAGGGCACTTGGGGGAGGTGGTCAGTTTAAACAGCTCCTCCCCAGGGGCTCTCTAATTCGCTTGGGAGAAAAGTGGGAAGGAAGAATCGACAAATCTCCGCCCCAAAGACAGATAGAAATACTGATGTTTGTGTGTGTAAAATTGCTTTTGGGTTTGGTGAGTGGTTTGATCCCGATATCTGTATCCGCTTCGCATCACAGACCTGAAGTCCAATTTCTTTTTGTTTGATGAGTTGGTTTGATCCCGACACATTTATCCGCTTCGCATCACAGACCTAAAAGCCCGGAGTACTCGAGTACTCTGTATAACTTGTATATGTGTTTGGTTTCCTACTAGAAGTAAACTCAGATAATTTGTTATAACTTTGATTCCGGTGTTTTCAATTCCTTTCTTAATTTAATAGAGATCCAGCCTCATCCAACGAACGGCGCGTAGCAGAGGTATTCTACTCCAACAGTGTGTGTGTGTGTGTGTGTGTGTGTGTGTGTGTGTGTGTGTGTGTGTGTGTGTGTGTGTGTGTGTGTGTGTGTGTGTGTGTGTGTGTGTGTGTGTGTGTGTGTGTGTGTGTGTGTGTGTGTGTGTGTGTGTGTGTGTGTGTGTGTGTGTGTGTGTGTGTGTGTGTGTGTGTGTGTGTGTGTTTTTCAATTTGAACTGTGACACTTTCTACCAGTTCAGCTTCGGCCAGTTAAACAATGTCTGATTTTGTTTATGATAGCACAGGTGTTACTGCTGCAGTAGGCTTGTGTTTGTCTTTATTAGGACCTTCAAATAGTGTTAAAGCTTGAATTATATTTAGAATTAGGGATGTACAGATAACAACAATTTCTGTATCTGTACATACCATACTATATGCTGATACTGGGTAAAGATGTGAACAGCAGGCCACTGAACTTTGATATAACATACCAATTTTGTGAATTGTTATTGAATATTTTGGTTCCAACGGCTCTGATTTTGCATTTCGTTTTATTGTCAAGGTTAGGAGCTATGCAATGTATTATATTATTGAAAGTTCTAGTTTTGAGAATTTGTTTTACTAAAGAAGTTAACAGATTTTAAAGATGTGGTTGATTTATCTAAATATTGCGTTAAATTCTGCTATACCTTTGGAAATGTAATAACTATCATATGAGCGCAGCTTAGCTGCTGTTGTCAGTATCTACACAATTATTAACTGAGGGGCTAATTCACAAAAGCATGCATGACTTTTGTGGTTGCTAAACCTGATCAAACAAGACAAAACAAAATAAACAGTTGGCTCAAAATGTTCCCCTTTCAGTCAAAAAGGGGAACTTCCTCACAAAAAGGGCAGATTACACTCTGCTTTAAAAACGTTATATCTGTGTTTGCGCTTTAACAAAATTAGTTGCAATATTCTTTGTGAATTAGAGCTGAAGATACACGTTGTAATTGATGCACGATTCATGGAGCCATCAGTACGTTGGCCCGCCAGGTGCAAGCGATGCACCGGCCCAAAACATGTGCTGCAGTTTAAAAAACAATGCAAATGAAAAACATAACTGTGCCAAAACAAATGCAAATGAAAAGAGATCTTCACCCACTTGAACAAACATGCACAGCATTGAGTCGTGCTCAATCCAATATTTTTGTCATTTTCTCCACTGAGTCCTTCCTCTCAGAGGGTTTGATTTAGCCAAGTTTAAACTCCCTGCGACACAAATATGTGTTTGGTGTATCTTTAAAGGGAAACGCTGTCATTGTCTGTGACTGCTGTTCCTGATTTGTCCAGATGCGGGAGCCAGTGACTCTGAATGTTGGCGGCTGCGTGTACAGCATGTCTCTGTCAACGCTACAGCGCTACCCAGACTCCATGCTGGGAGCCATGTTCGGAGGAGACCTCCCCACCGCCAGGGACGTACGCGGAAACTACTTCATTGACCGTGACGGCCCGCTGTTTCGGTGAGTTAATGTTTGTGTGAATTAGCGTGTCACTGTGGGGGAATTTTATATTTTTTAACTGTAAAATCTGCAGGTAGCTCATCAAATGAATCATATTTTAACTTGCAGTATTAATAATCCAAACGTGCTATGTATTAGGCAAACCATGTTTTACGATCGTGGTAACGAACCATCCATCATCAATAAGTTGTTAAAGGTCTCCTATTATACTATTTTTAGGCATATATTATAGGTCTCAGATATATAAAAAACATGTCTATGAAGTGTTTTGCTCAAAATACCAAATAGATCACCCATTCTAGCCATGCCTCATACCCCTCTATTTCAGCCCTGTTAGAGAAGTGCTGATTCTGGGTCAGTAGCTTTAAATGTTGCCGAGCTGCTGCTGGCTACGCCCCTTTGGAGCTGTGAATAGAGAGGTTTCTACCCAGATGCTAAACGCTGCCCTGATTAAACGCCATATCATGTTCCAAACCACATCAAGGACAGTATGGAGCTCAAATGCTTTTTCTCTCACAGTCTTACCACAAGGTGAGTACCTTTTTATTTCCAGCTTCTTAACACATATTCTCTCCAGTACAGGTTAGTGTTAGCGATGCCAGCTAATGTAAACACAGACCATATTACTTCCAAAACACGTCACACATTGTTTCTGATACAGCGACATTTCTGATAGGGTCATGGACGTAAAGCCAGCCCACATTTTAGTAATGTCATGACCGCAGCAAATCTGGATCAGCTTCGTTGTACCCCCGTTTTTAGAGATGTGGGTAAGGAGGAAAAGAGAAAGGGTTGTATTTTCAGAGTCTCCTTACACACCGGGGACACATATTTAAGTATAAAAGACATCAAAAAGTGCATTTTGCATAAAGGGGACCTTTAAGGAATTCACTCTGAATTGAATAATCCTCAATTTATTTCTCCCATTTTTTTTTTAAACCTGTGTGGTGTCAGCTGTTGTCTGACAAACAATAATGGAAACAAATAGAATTGATTAAAAAAGCAAATAAAAACATTAATTTACCTTAACAACTGACAACTGACCAAAGTAAAGTTACACAAACTTTAAGAATTATTATACTGTATACATGTGTATGCATGAAATTGACAGGACATTTAGGCGTTGTGCACACGGGAACGTTTGCGTTTATGCACAGTATGCGCTTTCAAAAAAGTCTTCCGTTCACATGCATTCGTTTCATTTAACGTGTCTGTTCAAACGAGACCGCTGGAAACGCTGTAGTACATATGCCAGGACTGTAAGTGGCGCTGTAACTTCCGCCAAAATACACCAAAAGCGGCAAAGAAGACCCTGGAGCAGCCCCGCAGCAATGTTGCCATGGCTACTCTTCTGTTTATGCCCCGCGGTGGATTTAGCAACATGTAGTAGTTAATGTAATTCTCCATGTCCACTTGTTGCTGATGGTTGTGGTAGAGGAGCTGTAGATGTTGTACTAACATCTGTAGCATGGTCAGTAGCAGTAGCACTAGCAGTAGCTACTGACAATAGCTACTGGCCATGCTACAGCAGTGAGCAGGAGAGGTGGGGCTATCGTTATTTTGTGTGTGGCGATTGCTGGTATTCAGCGGGATATAGTAATTTCCTCAGCATGTAAATATGGATAAATGCAACGGGGAAGTTAACTGAAAGAAACCGAATCTGTGGATATTGCATCGACCGACCAAGAAGCACATCTCCGTGGAGAGGACGCGCTCAGAAAGAGAGATATTCTCTACAAACACCGGGTGAGATCGCTCCTCTGGGACACGCCGGTCCTGTGTTTCCTTTTTTTGTGTGGATTATAGCCTGAATAGGCCTACAAACATTTCTCTTTGTGCCGCCGACGGGCTCGGGAGCAATGAACAATAATGGCTTGGATTAGGCAGTAAAGACAATTTTGGTGTATCGCAGAGCGGACTGTTTAATTTTGTTTGTGTTGTTTGGCTGGAAAATTGTCAATATAATGGATCAATGCATGAAATCTGACTCTGTTTATTTTGTTTAAGGAGTATATTGGGCGTTAACAATTCTGGTTTGCCTTTTATAATATTATTTCATTCAAGAACCCCTTGTGCGTTTAATTAACACAGCTATTTTTGATAGTTGATCGTTACAGATAGCTACTGGCCATGCTACAGCAGTGAGCAGCAGAGGTGGGGAGAGGTGGGGCTATCATTATTTTTTCAGGAAATATTCGTATAGAGGCGATTACACGGACTCGTTTGACCCCCCAGAGAGTTTTGTTTGCAAATCTATCCACCTTGGGACCCGTTATCGTTTGTGGGGTCCGTTTCTATCGGCCTCGTGTAAATAATAGGGCTATACGCACGCGAATCTATACAAGCCGTTTTGTCCTCGTGTAAACTGCGCCTTAAGGCCCCTACACACCAGGCCGATATCGGCCGTCTTGCGTTGTTGGGCGAAAACGGGTTCCTTGTCGCCCAAAGTCAATTTGGTGTGTCCCGAACCCTCGGCCGTGACACGCCTTATTTGGCCTTTCACGATCGACACCCGGCCGATTCAACATGTTGAAACGGCCGGGTGTCGGACACAAGCTATCGGGCCAAGAAACCACTCTGATCAGCTGTTCAGCTAGCAAATGAGAAGCGAAACGGAAGTGAGGGACGTAAACAAACGATTTAAATGTCCTCTCTTACCTCCCACACATAGCAGGGACATCTCTGATATCGGCGGGAGCGTCCCCGGCTGTCCTCTGCTGAGAGCTCCGTGATTTGTTTGGTCAAGTCCGGTTTTTCATCTCATCGTAAATTTAGCAAGAAGTGGCCATTATTACATTGCTGACTCAATAAACTACACACCCGCCAGAACACTGCGATCATCAGATGCAGGTCTATTAACTGTGATTTTATAGTATGTCTGCACTTTATGTGCTCATTTCATCATGCATGTATTTTTATATTCTAAAACATGTTTTCGATGGACGAGAGTGAAAATGGAACGGCACCCGCTATTTGTTTGTATATCAGTCTGTTCTTCTTCTCTGTCTTCCGGTTGTTGCCTATTTTGAATGACGAATACACACTACCGCCGCCTGCTGGTAAGGAGAGTTATTGCCACTCACGCATGCGCAGTTCGTACGTGCTCGGCTGTAGTAAAGCGGTGTATTTCAGTGCGACACACGGCCAATATAGGAGAACTCGTCGATGGATCTGTCGGTGTCGGATGTCGGCGAGTTCTCTGGTGACTGCCTGGTGTGTCAGGGCCTTTAAAGGGTTACATTTGATTTACCCAAAGTCTTTGATGTTTTTTGTAGCTCACATCCTGTCCTTATCTTCTCCTTTTAGGGATGCAGAGAGTAGGGGTGCTGTGTTAACACCTCCCCCTTCCCACATGCCCTGTAGAGTTAAAGTGAGAAAGGGTCCTCTTTTTTTAGCGACCTTTACTACATGTTATTTCAAATGCAGAAATCAGTCCTTTTGTCTCTGACTTTGCGGTGTCCATTTTGATTTTGGTTCCTAGGTAGGAGCTGGGCCAATTACATCGTAAAATAGAGGTCTATCACTGACCATATATCAGTGTAATTTCTTTGATTTTCCAGAGCATCCGGCTGGCTGAGCTTTTGCCAGTCTACTCCTGGGGAAGGAAGAGATCTTAAACTACAGAGTCCAGTAATAAAATAGTCAAATCACTACTCTGAATTGAACCATATTTTACTAAATGAATATCATGCTGTATTGGAAAATACATTAAACTTGTGACTGAGACAATAAACTTGCAAGGAAAATGTTTACTTAGGTAATAAATTAAGTAAGAAGTAGGGTCATTTTTCTCATAGACTTCTATGCAACCAGACTTATTATTGGAACCACTGGCGTAGCCCCCTGCTGGCCATTAGTGAAAGTTAGTTTATTTAGTCACTTATTAGTAATAGCGTTTTTCATGACTCACAGAAGCTTCAGACATTCACCAGTGGGGTATTTATTGACATTTGTTATGTCATAGAACAAAATTGGAAAATCTCATAAGCTTTATTTTAGGCTTCTAACCACAAACACATTATAGTCATTTCCGAGTTTAAGGACTCGGCTGCATCACTCTAATTAGATCCGGAAGTTTCCGCTTGCTCTAGAGCTGTACAGCAGCTCTCCCTCCAGCTCAGCATTCTGCACATATCCCGTACGTTTCTGCTGTTTCAGCTATATCCTAAACTTCCTGCGGACGTCAGAGCTGACGCTGCCGTGCGACTTCAAGGAGACTGAGCTGCTCAGGAAGGAGGCTGACTTCTATCAGATCGAGCCCCTGATTCAGTGCCTGGGAGACCCCAAACCCCTGCTTCCCTATCCCACAGACACCTACGAGGAAGTGGTGGAGCTGTCCAGCACCAGAAAGCTGTCAAAGTATTCCAACCCAGTCGCAGTCATCATCACGCAGCTCACCATCACCACCAAGGTCAGTGGGAACAGGACGGGCTCGTGTTGATGTAGGAAGATATATCGCCGCATCATCTTATTTTTCATGAGACCCTACTTTCTTCTTCTTTAAAATGTTGTATCTCTTTGATATGGTTGGCTTAGTAAAAATGGACATCTCTTCCCCTCTGTTCAAATGTTTTAATTGACTATGTTTGCACTCAAATATAACTAACTGTACACTGTAAAAAATGGCTGTGAAATCCACAGTTATTTACAGTGTTTGTGCACAGTAAATTACTGTATACCATTGTAGAGTATAATACCGTGTTTCCAACCAAAAATTACAGCAACTCTGGAGTTACTGTAGAAATAGCAGTAGTAACGTCCCAACTGTATAACATCACAGTAACCAACAATGTACTGTAGATAATCACAGTAACCAACAATGTACTGTAGAAGATCACAGTAACCAACAATGTACTGTAGATAATCACAGTAACCAACAATGTACTGTAGAAGATCACAGTAACCAAAAATAAAGAACCAACCGAAAAACCCCATTTCTAGAATAGCTAAATTATCTAAAATATCTTAAATAAACCAACATCTTTTTCTTAATATACATAATCTTGATGCAGTGTAATTACTAGTTTGGCTATACTAGATATTTTATATACTTAGTAGATATATATTTTTAAGACCCTATGTCTTTGCAAACCGGAAGAACTACAAATGTGGTGCTGATTTATACAAAGAATGTGTCTTGGCATTGCACCTTAAAAACGCAACACAAAGGAATAAAAATAGACAAAAGTAAGGTAATAATCATCAATTTTATTATTATTGTGGCGGCTCAATTCCCAGTCCAGTTTGAGTCGCCGAGAGGCTAAGCTTGGCTATAGGCTGTGACGCGTTTTCAAAGAGAAAGTCCACACCGAAGTAATATAGTCAGAAAATATTTAATAAAAAACGAACGACAAACTATAGGGACAAAAACGGTCAACAGAAAAAATAGGCTTGTTTGAGATGAGCTGCGGCTCGTCTCGAAATTAGACGAGAATAGCCGATTGCAGCTGGGGGAGGTCTCAAAAAACTCGCCTGAAGTCGGACAGCTCGGAGTCGGCTTGACTCGGTTTGTAATGGCGGAAATTGCGTTGGCGTTCTTCGTTGCAGATGAAGTGGATGCAATAGAAATCCCACAATTATTATATCACTACAAATTAATGACTCAAGTGTCTGTTCACTTTAAAACAAATCAATACAAGGGGGGTTGAATCCTACATGTGAAAGACAGAACCACTACTTTTCAAAACTACTTCCGTCAGTGGTCTTGACCAGTTTGCATTTATAAAGAATGCACAAATGTGTTTAATCGTTAATGTCAGATATGTACTAAGTAAATACATTTGTTCCTGCTCAAGATTAGATTCAACTTTATTGTTATTGCACATATTACAGGTACTGAGATAACGAAATGCAGTTTAGGTTCTAACCAGGAGTGCAACAAGCAGTGAAGTGAAAAGTAATGTACACAATCTATAGAATAAAATATAGAATGAATTGAATGATGAATAAACAGTGAGGGGTATGAACAGGACACAGGAGTGGTTTAAATAAACTGGGTTTTTTATTTACCCAAAAGTCCACAGAAAACATCATAAATCAATAATTTCTAATAACTAGGCCTATAAAAGAGGTAAACAGAAAGTACCTCAAAGAAACATGGCATCAACTTAACAGGTGTTAACTCAACAAACTGACCTGCGACAATGAAAAACCAAGGAACCTATATAGTGGCTTGGCCAAACCAAGTTGAAACCAAGGGATAATTAATAGTAACAGAAAACACAAAGGACACTGACAAAACCCAAATCCCCCCTTTAACATGAGGTGCGTTCACACCGGAGTACTTTGGTGTACTTTTCCCACAATAGTTCATCAGAACTACGATATATTTGCGTTCACACCAAAAAGCCCCAGGAACTAAAGTAGCTCAACTTAGTTCGCGAGACTCGCTTTTCAGTCCCTGCTACAGAGCAGGGTCTGTCGTGGGAGAATGTAGTTCGTACGTCTGATTGGCTGTGCGGAATGCAAACCACGCCCGTTTGACTCAGAATTTTTTGTTGTAAGCGGCCATTGTATTTCCTCGCTGGACAGCACATCCGAAGAGATTCCTTTTGTGAAAGCAGTTATTATAACAACACTAAATAAATCAATTGGAGTGATGAGGATGTGTCTGCGCTTCTGGCGATTTACTCGAAGGACGCGAAGCGCCACATTCAGAAGCTTCTACTGCATGCAGTTTCAGTGGATCAGCAAAGTTAGCAGACCTGGCAAAGTCATGTCGGGACGACTACGAAGGTAAAATAAAATACATGCACTGCACTGTTTTAATCTGCACAATACTGGTCTTAGATGTACTTTTATTTGCTCAGTAGATCGAGCTAGCCATGGTAGAACTTGCTAACGTTAGGTCCAAGCTGGCTAATAACATCTAGCTAGCTAGCTATTCTCATCCATGCCCGCTATGAACACGTTTTGACTTGTGAATAAGTGCAATGTTCTGTAATTTGCTTCACTAACTCATGGCACTAATCGTGTGTTTCAGGCGAGGTGTTTCTCTCAGGATTAGAAACTAGTTTTCCCCTCCGGGATAAAAACGATAATATAACGTTAGCAATTAGCATGCTAGCTGGACATAATGCTACCTCTGTGGCTAATGCATAGAGGTAAACAACAGATTGTAGTTGCTATAATTTCAAGTAATTTGCAACATTCATTCTACATGTTAATGGTAAAAGCTTAAACAGTTGATTACCTGCATGCCACAAAGACTGATGTTCTAATATTTTTGCACATTTAAGTAGAAATGTAATTGAAATTCTATTTACTGCCTAAACATTGTTCCTTCTCATAGTATTATCCTAAATAGTTTGACCTTGTTTCCTCAGAAGGCTTCTCAGACTACATGGAGGATCCCTCAGAGAAACACAGTTTCCACGTTCAGTTCCCCCCCGCTGAGAGTAGGCAGCCTGCGCCCGGTCAGCGGACACCATCAGGACCACTATCTGATCACAGAGGATCCCATCCTGACCGCTGCTGCCATACTGCAGCAAACAGGAGGGAACGGAGGTGAAAACACACTTTATAAATTTAGATATGTGGAGCACAAAGAAAAGTGTTGAGTTTAACTATAAAAATATTAGGTTCAACTAACCTAATACCGTTATATGAACTTTGCTGTGTTTTCAGCGTAGCTTTGTAAAGGTAACATTTAGCAGCTAAACTGTGGATAACAAGTAAACCACATTGGTTTGTTATTCAATATGGCCACCAAAAGCTTTTTGAATCATTACATGTCACTTGTTAGACGCTTTTATCCAAAGCTTACCTACTCAATACTGTGGGCAATCTCCACAGGAGCACTTTGGGGTGAAGTGTCTCGGGGACACAACGACATGCTACACCCTACCCCTACACACTACCCCTCCGTTTGCGCGTTCGCGCGGAGGGTCCGCCACATTAAGTGCTGTTCCAAACCAACGAGTGTGGAGAGGTGTGGAGGGGGAGTGGGCTATCAAGCCCTCAAACAGCGAGTCTGCATCGGTGCTGACTTGAGACCGGTCTCTACCTGACCGGAGTCACGCTGTGTGTGTCCGTCAGGAAACACGCTGTTAAAAAGTAGTTCCAGCAAACATCCACTGATAAATTGCGATGTTAACAACCTCATGATAACCTCATATTCTTTTAACTTAGGATCATACCTGTGTTTAGTCTAGAAAAAGGTAAATGTGTGCATTTTATTATAAAGTTGTGTATATTTACAGACTGTTGCAAAAACTAAGAAACTTATAAACATCAGGTTTAAAACTAAAAGAGCTTTACAGAAAAAGTAACACAATGAAAGATGTTTGGAGTTTTATTTGAGTTATTAATTTACATTTTTTGTCTAAGAGAAGCTGATTTGAAACCGTTGTTACATACAGTTACGGCATTTCCTGTTTCTGCCGGAGAGAGGGGAGTTTGTCCCAAAGCTTGCCGCTGTATTTACTCCCTCCATCTGACAGGAGGGAGCCTCGTTGAGCTGCGAGTGTGGCTACAGACGGAGTTCACTCCGTCACGGAGGGGTAGGGTCGAGGGAGTGGTTTGGGATTGGGCCTCAGAGGTGGAGATCGCCCACAGTGATGACTCTGACGTGGGGGGCTCTCTGTTATGGGCTGCTCCCCTTCTAGTATTTGGACAATGTTGTGTCGTTGTTGCGATTAAACTGATCTTGTATCTTGCATATTTCACCTTAGGAAAGTGGGCACGCGATGACAGCTTCCTTGACACCATCATGGCGATGGACTGCCGTGCCATGGTCAGCAAGGAGAATGAGGACCTGCGTGCCAAGGAGATGCACGACGAACGGCTGCTGCATTCACACAAGGCCCAGGAATCGAGGTGGAGCAACAAAATACCTTTCAGGCTGGGCTTCTGGCAGTGCTAAGCGAGCTGATTAAATCCAACAGGCCTTCAATACAAAAATTAAGAAAAACTTGTCGTCATTGATAAACTGTACAATGACTTGTTGGGAGGCGTGTGGTGCAGTGGTCTGGTGCGTTGGTGTTCGGATCAGGGGAGCACAGGTTCAAACCCCACTGCAGTCAGGATGTCGTTGTGTCCCTGGGCAAGACACTTCACCCCAAATTGCCTACACCTGGGAGAGTTCATTTTGTATTATTGTGATTATATATATATATATACCACTGTTATTAATACTGACACTTCACTTTGCACTCTATGTTCTATATCTATTGTTAGATATATATGTTGTCTATATATATGTTGTCTATATATATATATATATATATATATATATATATATATATATATATTGCCACTGTTATTATATTGTTTTGATACTACTGACACTTATTGATCTGCTGCTGATAAATAAAAGAGAACCTACATTGCGATTAAACAGAAAATGTATCTTGCTTATTTCTCCTGACACTTTATCTTTATGGTGACCTGTGTAGCATCCTATACATCACA